CCCCTCTCTCCTGTCCCCTCTCTCCTGCTCTCTCTCTTCTGCTCCTTCACTGGTCCCTCCCATAGTTGCTGTCCCTTGCATTTCTTGCCTCATTTATCAATTTTTCCACAAAGGACTTGCTTTCTAATGTTTTATATATTTATAACATTTTATGCCTTGTTCTCTTCGTGGCAGTTAATAGCTTCTATCAATTTTACATCTTCACTGATGATTACATTTGTTGTATATATAACCATATGTCTAAAACTCCAATGTTAATAAAAGCAAGATCTTGTCTGTTTTGGTCAGGATTATATCTTTAGGACTATCAAGATTAAACATGTATATGTGTCCATCTGTGCATGTATAGGTGCATACATGATGGTTGGTTGCAACCTTATGGATTAAAAGTCTACTTAGCTAGCTTTATGCACTTACTATGATTAATAACTTTAAAATATTGAATACTCCTTTTACCATAAGAAGGATATAGATAATAATGCAGTGCAGAAGATAGAGAATAATTTTTATGTTAAATTGTATTCCAGTGATTTTAATCTGTTTTTAAATTAAGAGGTACATAAGCATACAGCAAGCATTTATGAAAATGTATACTTCCATGAGTGATTTTTTTCATATATGTATTATTGTTTTTGTTCAATTTTAGATATTGGAGATATAGTGAAGAAATGAAAACCATGGACCCTGGCTATCCTAAGCCCATCACCATCTGGAAGGGGATCCCTGAATCACCTCAGGGAGCTTTTGTGCACAAAGAAAATGGTACACAACTCAGACTCAGCTGCTGAGTTTCCTATTTTAATATCACATTGTTTTATGTTAAGTCAAATAATTAGAAATTATTGTGCTAGAGTTATGAATTATACATATTCATATATATAATTTCAATTTATATTTTTCTTCTTAAGAAGTGACACCTAATATTACTCTCTGGGCAGTTTCAATTTAATTTATTGATGTTTATTTAAGTTAATTAGAAGAAAATATAAGTAGTACTTTACTACTGAGGAATGTTTATTATTTAATAACGTGATATACATAGTTATGAAAATTAATGAAAAATACATCAAGTGTGTGCGAGACAGGAATTTGTCCCAACGACTCTGTCCTGAGTTCAGCCAATTTCAGCGACACTCTCTGCTAATCCATGCTTAGCTGAAAACTCCCCTCAACACTGTCAGACCATGGCTGTCATAAGAAACAACATATTAGCCCTATACATTATGTTTGATAATCATAAATCAAAGGAGACAGGATATTGAATTATTTCTCTAGTTTACTAACCATTTTCAAAATCTACTGCTAAAAGTCTTCTCCCATTTATTTTAATCCATAAATTTATAAGTGTTTCAAATTTAATGTTTTTCTCATTTTGTTACTAGATTGATCATGTCACATCTAATATCTAAGTATTAATTTTAATTCTTCCTTTAATCAGCCATAAAATATGACTGATGCTACATGAATGCTTGCTATGTATCAAGTGTATTTCATAAATTCATTTAATTGTCCTACCAAAAGATTCAGTCTACACATTAACTTATTTTAACACTAATTAATATCATGTAAGAAAACAAGAAAGAGGAGAAAGTGCAACACAGGGTCTAACCTGGAAATGTTCCAAGTTACTTTGTAAGGATATTTGTTGTTGTTATAAATGTCTCATTACTTTGTGAGGATAAAACAATAGAAAATGATCCAATAAAATCAAAACAAATATAAATGAAAACAATATAAAATTATATTGCACTCTCATTGATTTCTTTCTTAAAAGTTTTCCTCATAAGCATAACACAGGAATAGAACAGCAATGCTATTTTTTAGTGAGTGAAACAGTTGAAAATTTATTGAACTGATATTTCATAAATGGAGATAATAAGCCCAAATTATTACAGGTGATTAGAGCACAAGCAAAATGTGACATATGTATTTTACAAAGATTTCACACTACCTCTTTTAGTTCTACTGAGAAACGTTATTATCCTAATAATATATTCAGGAAATGTAAATTCTATTCCCATGTTTGGAGTTTGTTAATGTAAAATTAAAACTTTAGACTGGTCATTGTGGAAGGAGGCCTCTTCTGAACTTTGCTGTTCTGTTCATTACCTTTATAGTAATTAGTCTTCGCTGAAAACTAGAGATGAGGATACCTGTGGCTGTTACTCTCCTATTTATAGCCATAAGCAGTACTTTCACCTAATTATGAAACAATGGCATTTTTCATCTGTGGTCATCTCATAGTCTGCTATTTGACAGTTCCTCAGCACTTCTCATCCAGACTTGCTAAATAAAGTACACAGAGTTTCATTACAGTGATACTAGTTCCCTTGCAGGATGAATTGAGTCTGTATGCTCCTGATTTCATTGGCAAATCGCTATGACTGAATAACTCTACTTCCAAGTTAAAAGCCACTAAAGATTTTTACAGCACTGAACCAAATAATTTCCAGTATGAAGTAACCGGTGATGACCTATACGTCATACCTAAAATTTCCTGAGTTTGCAGAATTCTTCATCTCAGGACTGACCCCCATCTGCCCAGGGTATTTACAAAGCAAAGTCATGTGTTATAGCTCTAGCTGTGGGAAAGTGCTTAATTCTTATTTGATCCTAGTCATATGTATTTGCCTCTTAACCTCGGTATCTGTCAAACAATAAAAACAAAAGATTAATTTCTTCTTAATACTGGAACAGTTAAGAAAGATAAAAACAGTGCTTTTAACAATGTAACTCTTCCATGATAGTAACATACAATAATAATCATAATTTTGAACACTTAAGCTGTAACATTCTGTTCAAATTAGGTAACCCTTTAAATATATTTCTAAATTACTGCAGCATTTTTAGGTTTTTTTTTGTTGTTGTTGTTCTTGTTGCTGTTTTGTGTTTTTGCTTGTTTGTTTGTTTTAGTTTTTAGTTTTACCTAAAAACAAGAACCAAGTCCAAGTAGCACAATGAGAAACTTCACTGGGTATACATCTTAAAATATTGGAAAATATCTTTAAGAAAATTCACAAGGTATGTTAGGAACTTAAAACATCTATTATTTTTAACCACAATATTCTGCATCACAGATTACTGAATTATTTGAAACTTCCTATTTAACTCATCATAGGTGAACTAGAATTATTACTCAGTAATTTTAAGATAAAATTGTGATTTATTTTCCCATTATTCCTAATAATTAATAATAAATTTTAAATTTCCATAAGGCGTACTTAGGGGCACAAGTTTAGGATAAGTAGGTATGACAAATGGAAATAACAAATGGAGAAAAGACAAAGGAGAAATGAATTATAGCCAGAAATGAGGTTAGTGCATATATGCTACAAATACATGCTTGCTTGTTAAAATTACCAATAGACAAAATAAAATTCCTACAATGTGTTATGACTTCTCCAAATATCAAAGGGGAACCTCTTATTTAAGAAGAGCACAAAATATACCGATACTAAGATGTTGAGAATGTGCCCTGAGGTGTGAATAGGTGAAAAACTTATTTATTGTATATCAAACAGTCTCCTCAGTGGCAGTTTGAGTTTCAGCAGTGGTTTAATTTTTCAAGCAATTCAAAATTCCATGATAACAGTAAATAGCGTGATTCTGATGTGAATTATGTGATAGTACTCCTATAAGTCCTCCACCCCCCAAATAAGGATGACACCCTCTTTACAGTCCACATTTAGGAATGGGTATAGATAACCTGCCACCATGTATTTTAGGCACAGGACTTTTTAATTTAGAACGTACAAGCCAGGCTTGATGGCATACAACTGAAACTCAAGCGCTGGGAAGCCTAAAGCAAGAGAAACAATTGTCCTACATTTGAGGCCAGCCCACTCTCTCTAAAGAGTTCTATCCCAGCTTGGGGGCCATACTTAGACCCTTTCTCAAGTATGAAGAGACACATGGAAGAAGGGGAGAAAGGTGAGAAGGAAGGAGGGAAGGGAGGAAATAAATAAATAAAAAATAATAAATAAATAAATAAATAAATAAATAGAGAGAGAGAAAAGGTTCAATTCCTGGAATACAGCAGCTAGAGCCTTTGTAATACAGTTGAACTGAGGGTTGTGTTTTTTTATTTTTTTTTTCCTTTAGAAATTGAAAGGACTTAAGATCTTAAAACACATGTTTTGGGAAGTAGTCTGTTTCATTAGCATGTGCATATACACAATCACAAATAAGCAGTATCTGTGTATGTATGTTTTCTCCCCAGGCTTTACCTATTTCTACAAAGGAAAGGAGTATTGGAAATTCAACAACCAGATACTCAAAGTAGAACCTGGGTATCCAAGATCCATCCTCAAGGATTTTATGGGCTGTGATGGACCAGCAGACAGAGATAAAGAAGGACTCAGTCCACCAGATGATGTAGACATTGTCATCAAACTGGACAACACAGCCAGCACTGTGAAAGCCATAGCTATTGTCATTCCCTGCATCTTGGCCTTATGCCTTCTTGTATTGGTTTACACTGTGTTCCAGTTCAAGAGGAAAGGAACACCCCGCCACATACTGTACTGTAAACGCTCTATGCAAGAGTGGGTGTGATGTAGGGATTTCTTTTTTTCTTTCTTTTCCAGGAGTTTGTGGTAACTTGAGATTCAAGACAAGAGCTGTTATGCTGTTTCCTAGTTAGGAGCAGGCTTGTGGCAGCCTGATTCGGGGCTGACCTTCCAATCCTAGAGGGTTCCTGGTCCTGCACATGAGTGGAAATACATTCATGGAGAAGCTTCCATGAGGCACAGTATCTGCTGTTCTTCAGTCCTCTGTCTTTCTTTGTCATTCAGTTGTAGGCCTTTCCTCTGCACGCTCAATGCCCAGTAAAATTTCAGGATTAACTGAAGAAGAGGAAATATAGAAGAAAAGTTTCTTCTTAATTTTTTAAAAATACTTTTCCTTCTGAAATCTGAGCCCATTTCTGGGAGAAAGAGAGAGAGAGAGAGAGAGAGAGAGAGAGAGAGAGAGAGAGAGAGAGAGAGAGAGAGAGAGAGAAAAGAGCAAATCAGAAAACCCATTAGGTTTTTGCTTTAAGGCAAAAGAAGAAAGAGTTTTAAAAACAACACAAAATCCATAAATGAACTTTCAGGAAAGTGTGAAGACCCAAAACAGCATTGTCTCCAAAGAAGAAAGCTCTGTGACCACTATGGATAGTCTCCCGCACATCGTTTTTTTCAGGTGGGAGATCTGGAACAGACATGCAGGACTCTAGACTGTTGGGACAGCCATTTTCCAACAAACAAGGGGCCAAAATATCTGCAATATAGTAACAGCCTTAATAATACATGCATTTTTCGTTTTCTACAGCTGTTCTCAGCTATATCCACAGCGTTACATCACCTCCATACTCATAGCTGTTTTCCAACAAGACCTTTTGATTGTTTTGAAATCTTTCTGAACCCCCTCTTGCCTCCTGACCCGACATCATTGTGATGTTCTTCTTCGTTGTGTCAGGCCTTTGTTCCCGGCCTTCCATTGGTCTGTCAGCAATACTCAGCAGAAAGCAGAGCAGGAACCAGTGTGTCTCTGACGTCATTAAGTGATGGTTATTTTTAAAAGACATGCGACTCTGGTCGTACATCGGTGTAACCCTTTGAGAACTATCAGACCAGGCTCAAGAGTCATGTGGATCAGTCTTGCGGTCTGGTCACACTGGTAGAACTGACCAACATTGAAAGCCATCACAGGTTCAACAAGTTCAGATGTGTAAAGCATACCTTAAATCCTATGTAATTCTTTAATGACTGACAGCGACCCATAGATACTTTTATAACAAACAACAGTGATGTGACTTGCCAAAATTTTTCTGGCAAATAAAAAAAGATATTTTGTTAACAATATCTTATGAGAGTGAAATTTTATTTGAATAATTGGTTAGAAGAACCTCTAAGCCTTTTCTTCTTCAGACACACTGAATTATTTTTTTTTTATTTAAACTCCATTGCATGAAAATTCAATTTGCCATAAAATATCCAGTTAGCATTGTGGGGTTAAAAAAGAATAAAATAATGACTCTGAGTTTGCATGAATACCTTCCAATGCATTACCAATTGCATGTCAGCCATAGTTCTCAAAGGGTTGGTGTGGCTTCTGGCATTTAGCCATCCATTTGATCACTGACAGAGCCAAGAGACACCAAAGCATTCCATTGTTGAGTGTAATTTGTCCTAACAGCAGTATTGTCATTTTAATGTGACCTGCAGAGCAGGTTTGTATCAATATTTTTTTCCTAGAGAAAAGTCAGCAACTGACAGACCTCTATTGATTTTAGGAGCTGCTTCTTGCAGTGAAAGTCTTTACAGCCACTGGGCTGTGAACTTATTAGAGATGGTCAGAAGGAAAGCACCCCACAAGTCAGACAATTGGCTTTGTGTGAAAGCCAGCTTTGGAGGGGATTAGCTTTTGAAACAATGAACAGCTTGCCTTGAACTTGATATTGATTGTTGACTGTCATTAACAACAACTTAAACATTGTCTTCTGTGAAAATTTTCCCTGAAGAGTCCTGTTCTGTGTCTTTGCCCTTTGACCTTTAACTTGCAAACTGGCACAAGATTTGGTGTTGCTTCTCCATTGGATTGTTCTGTAAGACCTAGTAAGCAAGAGCTGTTTCCTTAGCGTGGAGAGAGAGTTTGGGTATTCGATCTGCAGTTGGACGCTTTGCTCTCCACATGCACACTCTGAAGATGCCCTATAGGTAGAGGTATTTTTTAATTTTTTTCTTTAATTTCAAGCTTAATTTCATCATTTTAGTAAAAATTACAAAAAAATAGGAAAAAAAAACCTCAAATACTTGAATGGCCAGTGTGGCTTTTATATAAAGCAGGAATTTTATACTAGTGAAAATTTCTTACTCATTTGCTAATAATACACATTTCCAGATGATTTTTAATGAGTGTAGGTATACATTCTTATTTGGAAATGGATAGTTTGGCTGCCTTGAATTTATATTTATACTCAACATAGCATGAAAATTAGAATGCCTTTTGGTTAAACTACATGTTTATGATTTGGTTGGGGAAAATATTTTCTAGTCATGGGTGGCATGCTGAAAAGCCTTGCAAGCTGGTGTTTCCTACAATCTGAGCATATATCCTGTAAGACTAAGACAAAAAGAACAGTTACAAAAGAGGAATGGTTCTGTAGTATCATATTGTGAAATGCAATTTGGACTTCAACAGGACATCAAAGATTTTGAACGTAAGGGTCAATAAGAAAGGGGAGGGCAAGGATCAGCCCTGTATCTCTACTTCAGAGCTAGATGATGCTAATATTATAGTAGTTTCTGCAGAGCATGGCTGACCGTATACATAAGCCTGTTGATACAATGTTTGCTTGTTAGAGGGTTTAATCCTTTCAGGATCTTGATGTCAAGAAAAAAAATGACTGGAAGCTTTTTTCTAATGATAGAAGTGAGGAACTGTAATATTTTGGGACATGTGCAAGTCATTGAGAAACTCCACCAACGTACATTGAACCTTTTTTTTTCTCTCTAAAATCAAAAAAAAGAAGTCGAATAAGCAATCTCTTGCCTCTTTACTCATTCACCACAGTACCCTGATTCGTCACAAGACTGTAAGTACCTAAGGGCTAGAAAATAACCATAGCATTGAAAAGGAAGGAATCTTCATTTTGCTTCAGTTATGGAAAACATTATGGATATGATTTGGGTTATGTTGCCTTGAATATGAGAAGTCTATGTACTTTAAAAAAGGTTTATATGTCTATTATCTTGACTAGGACATTTATAAGATGATAAATGATAAGAGCTAAGTATGATGTAATAAAAAAAAACACTGGGGTTCCTTTGTTCATTGTGTGCCAGGCACTACATTCATATGGTTGCTGACTCTTCTTTCACTTCGGATTTGTTTTGTTTTGTTTTGTTTTCAAAAAAAGAAAGAAAAGAGAAATATGGCAGTGCTAAAGAAAGCAGGAAAATGAAAATGATTAATTAATCTATATGAAAATAACAATTAAAAATTTAAAAAGGAAGTTCTCTGCATAAAGAACATAATGTCAACTCAATATCAGTGAAGACTTGCAATCAATCAAGTCTTTTTCTGTCATTTCTAAATTAGAAACATGAAAAGCTCAGACCTACTATTTCCAAAACTGAAATGAACATATTCATGTTCATAAATAATTCATCTGTTTCATTATTTTTATTATTTTACCAAATATTGAAGACAACTGTAAACAAGGTAATGGTTTTACATAAAATGAATTTATAGTTTACAATTTCAGGTAAATATTGTTTCTCTATGCATTATTAATCAGATGAAGTGAAATATTTAGTTGACCAGTTCAAATGTTTTATAAAGCAGTGGTTCTGCATCAGTTGTGTAAAGAAAGCTGTAATTTTTAGATACCTGCTAATCCATCTGAGAACAAAGTTTTCTGCAGACGGCAACCACAACAGGGTGAAGACAGATGTTCACCAACATGGCAAAGTCTACGGAGCTCAATTAGAGAACCATAGATGATACTAGCAAATAGAGTTCCTGTTCCTAACCAGAGAGCAAGGCTTTTCTCAAGCAAATGTAATAAATTACTAAATAATAATCATCAAAAACAATTACTGAGTATTAAAAGATAGAGACAGCTTAACTAAAATAAGAAAATGTTACCTTTGTTACTTGAGCTGCCTACAATCTCTTTTATAACACATAATTTGGCTTTTCACATACTGTACATTTATTTGTATTTCATTTCTGTGAATGATTGCAATGTAATGTAGTGGCTAAAAGAACATTGCCCAGATTCTACTGCCCGCTGTGATATCTGAAAGAGGGTGTATATACTGGATTCTAGGAAGAGTAATGTAATATTCTCAAGTTCTCCATATTGTGTTGGTATCTCTAATATGGCACAAATTTTGACTCCTGTCATGTGGACCTTACAACTGAGTAACTGGTGTGCCCATATTAATTGAACTCAATGTGCTCTCTGAAGAAGAATAGATGTTAATACTTGAATAGATATGTTACACAAAAGTCATAAAAATAATCAGATTTTTAGGTATTTGGTATTTATTTCCAGAAACAAATAAAGGCAGTGATTTGCTGATAGTTTTGAGTCTGTGAGATTATAGTATATAATGAAATAAGCCTGGGGATGGTGAGGAAATGTTTACAGTAATCACAGCAAAATGTTTAATTTTTGATACTTTAAGAGCGTATTCCAAGATATCATAGACACAATGTACCATTGAAACCACAAGTTTGACATTCAGATGATCTATAGGAAGAGCTACAAACACAGTCTCTACTAAGCTCTGATACCATAGAAGGGATCAAGCCACTCATGTGGTAGAGTCTTGTCATTCTTTCCAGTGGCATTCACCTCCACAAGAGATGTAAAAGAAACACAGGAAATAAGTGTCAGATTCTAGTAATGGGTTTCCTGTTGTCTAAGAAGAAAGGAGAGCTATGCCATAAAGTTTAAACAAGTACCCTTTAAAGGCTAAACTTAGTATAATAAAGAAACTAACAACCAAGGATAGTACCACATCATTCATGTGAAAACTACATTTTATAAGTAGAGTGGGCAGTGGAGAAGCTCAAAACCAGTCTTTTGTAAAATATAAAGTCATACTTTACCACTCTGTAACATTACAACTGGTAGTTTTATTTTAGTAAGAACAAAAATAATAGAGAAAAAAAATGAAACCTCAAGCTCCTCACACCACTGATGAGTATGGTATCAATGTATATACTTAGTCAGTCCTCAGTAGATGTCACTGTGTAAATGTGTCTGATACCCACCCATTGCCTCATAGACCCAAAATGTTAAAAGTAACCCCGGTCAGAAGGCCGTTAGACCCCTGTGAGAAAAGCCAGTTTTCTAGGATAGAAATTTACCTCAATAATCATAAAACACAAAACACTTGGCATAGTAGCAAAAGTTGCCTTAGTGTTCTAGTCTGATCTAAATGTCTATGATGCACCACTCACACCATTTCTCTTGTCTTTCTATTGGTCTATGTTTAAGTTGATTTTGA